TATTTTTTTTTAACCCCACCAAAAGATGGTCCCTCTTCTTTTTATTTAAATTATTAAGTGAGTTTTGATTTTTTTAATAAATATACCTTTTTTTTTTTTAAGTTTTATTTTTTATTTTTATTATTTGGGGGGAGAAGATTATTAAAACTCACTCAAAACCCCTTTTCTTATTATATATATTGATTCCCCCCTTCCCCTTCTTTTCTATATTAATATTGAACCATACTCTTAACTTTCCTCACAGGTCTTCTTTTTCAAACCTTGTGTCATGTTTGATGCTCTCCTCTGAGCTTGCTCCAATTTACCTGTTTTTTTTTAAAATGTGGTGCTCAGCTTCAATGGAATATTCCAAGAGTAATAGTCAGTAATGAGTGAGCAGAATAATTAGCCTGCTTGTTTGCACGTCCCTATTACAGCCCAGCACAGCTTTTGCCTTTTTCCCAACAGCACTGCGTTGTTGATTCTCTCAGGTTACATAATTCAGATCTTTCTTTGAAGTCCTACTGTTCCAAGAATCATTCCCCATTATATAGTTCTGAATTTAATAATTTCTTTCTGTACCAATCATATTTGCATTTGCCTTTAACTGAACCTTAGTTTACTGATTTGAATCTATTTCTCAATTTCTTTTTTAATTAAAATGATTTTATTAAAAAGGTGAGAGTATTACGTTTTTTCCCCTCCGCGTTTTTCTTTGAAACTGCTTAAGGCAAAGATAATAAAACATTAACCTACTATGCCGAACATTTATTACTTATTCAGGACCAGATTATCATTCAAAGAAACTGGCTAAAGATTCTGGCTTGCTCACTGCAGAGCATGCCTCATCTGGGTACATTTTTCTTTGCTTAATTTAATCCTATATTACCTAGTCCTACCTTCTTGATTACATTAAAAATCTCTCGTTTTGAACAGTTGTGGATGGTTTTCAGTTCATGACACTATTTCCTGTAGTTTTTTAGTCATTCTTTTAATTTTTCTGCAAAAAGTCAATTCTTCCAGCCCCTTAAACACTTTATTGCTCTTCTCTGAATTGTTCTTCACCAATTTCTCAGCAAACTGTATCAAGGTTATATGGTATTAGGGCCTGATCGAGCTCTCATTGAAGTCACTTGAAAGACTGCCATTGATTTCAGTGGAAGTTGGATTGGGCCCTTACGAAGCCAGCTAGTTTAACTTCTAAAGAATAAAGATCCTTCTTCATTTAAATATTCTTAACAACAAAACAAAAGGAAGAAAAACCCAAAATATTGAGAGCTGTTTGTAAAGAAAGTGCTTTCAAAAATGTTCAAGAGGCAACAAGGTACGTAATGGGTTTTAATATGGTACATAGTGGAGTTTGGATGGCAAGCTTTGAGGTTGGTTACTTAAGCACTGAAAAAATTGGATTAGATAAAATTCATTGTACTGTATAGAGGTTGAGAGGATAGATTTTTCTTTTCCAACTAATTTCAAATAGGAGGAAGGTAAATGGCATTGAAAATTAGGTAGGAATGACTTAATACCAAATACTGGTGTAAGTCAAAAGAACTCTACTTTTGTAGAGAAGTAGCGAAAGAGTTTTGCGAAAATGCATTTTGTAACTAGAGATGAGGGATTAAATGGAAATATCAAAGAACATTAGTGAGGAGACTAAAATCATTTGTATAAAGCCACATTGCACTATTGTGCCACCCTTTGGACAGAAAAGAAACTATCTATTAGTTCATTGCGGGGGAGAAAAAGTTCTATTCCTCTTTTGGGCAAAAGTGGAGGAAGATATCAGTAAAAGAAATTACCACATACAGACAAACTATATGGATTGAAATCTTAGAGGAAAGCCGGAAAAGCAACTGCTGTATCCCTGAACTTAAAGTGATGCACAATCATAAAGTTATGGACTGGAATGTAGGCAGTTTTGCCAAGAAGTCAGGGCAGGAGTCAGGTCTAGTGGGCGGAGCAGGCATCCAGGTTGAGGAATGAAGCTAAGGGTCAGCACCATAATCAACCGCTAGTTACCAGAGCCAGGGGTCAAGCCAGAGACAGAACCGGGAATTGAAGTGGAGGATCAGAGCAGAGGTCAGATGTCAAATACCAGCACCAAGGGTCAATTGAGGTAGGAGGACAGGCAAGGATCAAGCACAGAGCAGAAGCACGGTGGAAACCAGAGCAAAGGCAGGAGCAGAGCAGGAATCAGGAACAGGGTTGGATGTAAGAAGCACGGTCCAATATAGCCACAATCAGAAACCACCTTGTTGCAGCCTCAGACAGACTTCCTGTGCCTCCTTCTCGTTAAATAGTGTAGTTGGACCAGTGGAGCTGGGCAATCCTCCAATCAGAGCTCCTGTGGGAGGTGCCTTTGCAGGGCCTATTATCCCGGTAGCTTCTTAGCCCAAATGCTTTCAGTAGCCACTGGGTAGAGGCCAGGATGGGACAGCTGTCTGGCGACTACCAGGCCTGGGTTCAAAACTTAGGACATCACCCATAAAACGTTTAGCATCTATCAGCTCTTTTAATGGTGATGAGACAGACCAAAGACATTAAACCCCCAAAGTGGTGGTGTCAGATTTATTAAAGCACACATTTCCAATTCTAGACCTGATACGTTGTTGGATTGTGGGGGTCTGTAGTCAGCATGTTAATTGCACAAAACAACTGAAGCAATATGTGTCTGAATTTTAAAGTACTGATTTAGTTTTAAACCCCATTTTAGATTTTTATTAAGATTTTTTCATTGTTTAGAAATATTTAAGCGCAAGATATCAAGGAATGTATTTAACTATCTTGAAACAAAATAAACTTAATGTCTTGCATAAATTAGTTTTCTGTTTTTAGTGGATGGTTAATGATATTGATATGACAGAAAGTGTGTTTGGCTTTTTATCATGAGTGCCATAAGATGAGGAGTATAATTGCACTGGTGCATATTATATTGGTTTCAAGTGTCTTTTCCATCATACAGAATATTTTATCAAGTAAACAAGTTCTTACTATAGGTGTCAATTCTGGGTTGCGCTATTGGAGCTGAAATTTGGATATAATGTGACATTTCTACAATCAGCTTGATGCTTAATGGGAGGAAGGAGAGAAGCAATAATATAAGGATGATGAACGGGAGATGTCAAAAGTCTAACCATTCCTTCATCCTCAGTCTTACCTGTTGATGGCCTGCTCTTGCTTCCCAGCTCTTCAAGGGAACGTTGGCTCTTCCTCCACCATTTTTGCAGGGGGAAAGACAAGGAAGTACCACCGTGCCCTAGGTGGTATTTTAGGATCTGGATAACTTTTCTTTCCCAGTTCTCGGTTTTCAGCACTGAAACTCAGAAATGTTCCTCTGGGTCCTGCTATGGTCCCTTTAACTTTAAAGCATGCAGAGGCTCAGATGCCCTTGAGTGCACAGTGCTATTTACACATTTCCATTCCCACACAAGGGAGTCTTAAGAAAAACATCTTCACAAACAAGGGAAGGGATTACCAAATGCAGCACTAAAACCCACAAATATGAAACCAGCAAAGCAGTAGACAATAACTTAAAGAGGAACAATTCCATGTGGTACAAAAACCAAACAAAAAGGTGGGTGAATTTAGATATGCCGCCTGGCCACTTTCCATTTGGAACTACTACTGCTGTAGTTTTTTTTCGTAACAACTTACACATTTCAATATATCTGGTAAGAACATTAATGCTGACATTCTTCTGTGTTAAATATCTGTGCTATACCTTATATAATCTGAGTTTTGATTAGCATTCTTAAGTGCCAGTGTAAGACTGACAGACCCTAGTTGTCAGCGGGCAGGATTGAACCTGGGCCCTATGGAGCTAAATGCATAAGCCTCTACTGCATGAGCGGAAAGCCACATGGACCTTAGCTAAAGCTATAGCAGACTCATTAATCTCTAAGTGGTCTCAGTGCCAGGAGAGGGGCCAGAACACCACACCCAGGAGGTAGGTGGGTTACACTATTGTAATAATAACACATTTATAAAAACATTCAGGAGCTTCACAGAACAGTTTAAGGGTGTTCTCAGCAGTATGTTTCACTTCATATTAAAGTAGGCATTGTTGACATGGAAATAGTGTTCAGAATTAAGGCAAAAGTATGCTGTTTCTAAACTTTCCTCTGCTTCACATCAAACAGGGGTTTCTATTGAACTGCCCTATTCATCAATGCAGATTTACTATAAGCGGCTCACATGGACTTCTCGAACATACAATCCGGATACCACAGCACTATTGTCAAGAGGGGAGGGGGGAAGGTAGGTTGTGGATGGGGAGGGTCCCTATTCCCTGTACTGAGCCCTGAGGTTGGGATGTAGGTTTTAGGGCTCTCCATGGAAGATTTGGAAGTTATAACGTTTGCCCTGAGCCTGGTGGGGAAGCGGAAGTATCAACTGGGAAGGGATGAGGAGACCACTGAGCCTGTAGCCTTTCTGAGCCAGATCATCTTAATGAAGAGACCAGCCTTGAACTGAGAAATAGGGAAGGGGAGGATGAGCAACCGGGGTTAGCAACTCTAATCTACTGCTCATCCTCACAGTTCAATATGGTTTTAAACTGGTAAAGCCCCCAGAGGGGTAGAGAAGGCGGTTTTCTCCCTAGATTCAGCCATCAGTAGGATCAGCTAGCAGCCCTTGGGAGATCAAGGGTCAAAAGATACTTGGCGGCTCCAGTCTATTCAGCAGCTTGTCTACCCAGGGCATCAGATAGGCATCAAATTTTGAAATGGCATCCACCTTCCGAAAGTCAATACAAAAACAGGGTAACCTGTCAGGTTTTGGCACCAACATGATGGGACTCCACCATTCGCTCTTGGATTCTTCAACTACCCTGATTTCCAACATAGCCTACAGCTCCTGGCAGACCATTTCCTACATCTTCTGCAGTACTGAGTGTGGGTTCTCCTGAACCTTCCTTCCCAGCTCAGAGGCTATGTGGTGCTGTACTACATGAACCCTGACCAGTTGACACTCAGGGCAGGAGGTGCAATAACCTTTGACCTCCACATGCACCCCCCCCCAACCAGTAAAACCTGAGCCCCACTCAATCCAGGGTCTTCTCATGCCCAAGGTGCCACCCCAAAGAGTATCGTATTGGCCACATGCAGCACCTGCCCCCAGAACCTCTTGGGGGCCAGTAGTTGAGCTTGGGTCTTGCCTGTTTGTGCATGTTGAGTCATCTGCTATAACCGTTCCTCCTGCAATTCAAAATAGGACCATAACCACCACGCCTACTGGGGATTAACTACCTCCCCATATACTTTGGTGTGCTGTTCATAGGCCTGGGTCAGCGTTGGATCCTCCTTCTGGGCACTGATAAAGTCCATCTCCGTAGTCAGTTCCTCCCAGTTTTGGGGTTTGTGAGCCTCTGCCTCCCTTTTGGTGGCTCTAGGGCCAAGTGGCCTTCTCCAGGGTCATCATCATCCCTTCCTTGATCCAGGTTCCCTGCCTCTGGAGGGTCTGGGTCCTTTCCCTGGTGACCTTCTTCTTCTCTGAATTTTTCAATCTCCCTGAATTCCTCCAGATCCTGCCCCAGGATAGCTGGGTACATGCAGGTCTGTGAGACCGCCAACTAGGGTGGATTTGATTTAAGTCACTAGTCAGGAAGACTCGATTAAATCATGGATTTCTACATAAAGTGCATTCTTGTTGCTTGTTATAACCTTAATACATAGTCTTCACAACTCAGATAGATGTAGGTTTCATTTTTAGAAGGTACACACTATACATTTTTAAAGTGATTGATTTTGAAAACTTTTCAGATTAGTTTTACAGCAATATCAGAAAATGAATGATTGTTTGGTTATTTCATTTACCAAAGGTAATTGAAGCAGCTAGTTCACCTCCCAATGATTTCATAAATATCTCCAATTCAACAGGTTAATATTTGGAGGATTTTCTTGCCATGCTGTATTAGGAGAACATCACCAGACAGACATTTAAATTGTTTTATTTAACTAAAACAACAACGTTATGTATTCTGGATTTTTTTCTTCTACAGCAAACATAATATTTTAACAAAACAAGCATATGAATTTTTGAATTTAGTTAAACATTCAAGTTTTTTAACTTCAGGTTTGTTTTTGTTAAAATTGTTTTTAACTAAAATAGTTAAATGAAATACTAAAAAAAATTAAATCAACTAGGTCAACCAGGTCAACATGAGAAACTTAAAATATTGGCTTCTGCAGCTAACGCAGTCGTCTTCACCTTCATTTTCCTGTTTGTTCATAATCTGGAAAAGAAAAACAAGCTTTCCTGCTTTTTCAGGTCCCAAACCATTTCTCAAGTTGGAATGAATTAGTCCAAAGGAAGAAAATATTCTTGTTACACTGGCAGAAGAAGCTACTGCTGTTAAAAGTGAGATTATCACTTCAACAGTCTCTGAATCCAAGTGCTTAAGTGACTACCACCAGTTCATTGGTGTGACTTTCTTTAAAACATCATCAGCAAACGTATATTTCTTGAATAGTTCTTATTCCCTAACTGGGTCTCTTTTACGGCCTGCTGCCATTATAGGTTTTCCCTTCTAGTGAGAGAATGGTATGGTAGATCTCAAATCAATGAAGGCTACACTCAAAAAGACCTCAAGACTTCTGGAATATGCTGAAATATGCTGCTCAAACAGTTTCACTTTTGTTTCTACTGCCTGTCCCTCCCTTCTCACATTTATCTCCAGACGACTTCTCCTTGTCCAGATGTATTCCGCCCCCAACAATCTTCTATTCACTGAACTTTTTGAAATCTATGCAGAAGCCCATGGAATCCCATAAGATTGGGTCCCTAATCCACGAACTATTGGAACTCATTTACAAAACTTTTCTTCAACATTACCTAAATATATTGTCTCACACTATAGAATTAGAATTTATAATCCCTATTCCATGATGAGATATCTTTGAGCTATAATGTATCATCTTATCAAAAAAATCCAATTTAAATAAAACTGATTTTTTTGATTTTTTAAAATAAATCATTGATTTTTATTCACCCTGCCCCAAACCCGTACTATCCGGACATGCCCCCTTATCTCAAGTTCTGCGGCCCTCACGGGATACAGGTGCACATCACCCTGGATGTGGGGTAAATCATATCCACAACATTTCCCTTGTCTACCAGCTGTCTCCAACCATGGTCCAGCTGCACCTCGAGTCAATTAGCGTTGTCATGGGCACTCCATTGATCCACACCAGGATGGTCTATTTGGCAATCCCTTTCTTCCTGACCTCACTGAAAGCCACATCCCGCTATGGGGCAGCAGCCTTCCTCACAGCAGGGGACAAATCCACATTAGTAGGGGAGGGACAGAAGTTACACTAGATATATGTGCCAAAGCTAGGGAAGCACAGAGCATCTGAAATCAGAGAGAACCTGGGCTTGGGGCTTACATTGGTGACTATGGTGTGGAGCAGAACTCTTGTCACTCAGACCCATGTAGTCTAAAGCAATGTCTCTTAACTTTTTTGATACCAGGAACTGGCTTGCTGCTTTCCTAAACTGTGTCAGGAACGTCTTAGGTTTTTCTAGACCAGCATTGCTCAATGACAGGTCCATGGACTGGTGCCAGTCCCTATCTGAGCGAGGCATTCTCGGGCTGGCTGTGCAGGCTGAAAAGTGTTGCAGAGACGCACATCAGAGCCTTAGGCTGAGCACTCATTCACTGAATAAAAGGAAAATACATGACAAGAGACTCGGTATTTGTGGTTAGTTTTTGTTGTTCATCTTGCAGTTATATCTGTGTCATGTATTGAAAGTTATTTAGCAAAATATGTTAATTTATTTAGCTTGTTTGTATGTCTCACACACAGTTAAATTTAGTCTATATCCTGAGAAAACAATTTATTAACATATTTATGACTTTCCTGCAGGTATGAATTAGGAGCAGCTTTATTCATTGGATGGGCCGGAGCATCACTTTGCATAATTGGTGGAAGTATATTCTGCTTCTCAATAGCTGAAAACAGTAAATCCCCAAGGTACAGAACCCAAGTGGTTGCACTTATTTTATTGAAATAAATCAATATATTAGCAAATTTGTGATTAAATGTATAGAAAGGTAAGCTATACAGCTGGAGTTTGATTATGCTTTCAAAACAATTCTACAACCAGCTTTTGAAAAAGATTGTGCAAAAAAAAAAAAAAAAGAAAAGAATAGAATTTAAAGTTAATGTTTTTCTTTTAAGAAGTCACTACCAACATTCAGGAAAACCATTGTTTCAGATTACATGTACTTATAAAGTTGCTGCCATGTGTCAGAAACTAATGGAAAAGCAATCAGTTGCATAGTACAGCCAACATACCATATGTGCATTCTGAACAGATACATGTTGCCCCTTCATAACAGAAGTAACCCAAAGTTGCTTGACTGTTAGACGATGTACACCAGGATTCTGCAACCTTTGGCACACGGCCTATCAGTGTAATCCACTGGCGGGCTGCGAGACATTTTGTGTACGTTGACCATCTGCAGGCACAGCCCCCTGCAGTTCCCACTGGCCTCAGTTCACCGTTCCCAGCCAATGGGAGCTGCGGGAAGTAGCGTGGGCTGCAGGGACGTGCTGGCTGCTGCTTCCCGCAGCTCCCATTGGCCAGGAACGGTAAACCGTGCCACTGGGAGCTGTGGTGGGTCGGGCCTGTGGACGGTCAACATCAGCGAAATGTCTTGCAGTCCGCAATCAGATTACCCTGATGGGCTGTGTGCTGAAGGTTGCTGATCCCTGATGTACACATTAATAAGGAGGTGGACTGAAGAAGAGGAAGATGTTGGAGGGGAAACTATGAAAGGTAGTAGATTAGATTGAAACAGATGAGGTTTACGTTAGAGAGCAGGAGTCTCTGCTGCCCTAAACAGAATGTTTTAATGCATAGCCACTGAGGTGTTGGTCTTGTTTGCTCCTCCTCTACTGGTGAGAGGTGGCAAAGTGAAATTGATAATAGGTCTGTTTTTTGCTGGGAGAAAGCACGCATTATTTTCCTAGTTTGAATATTTTTTTACACACTCACATATAATTGTTACCTGTTCATAGAATGAGCTGTAAATGGATAGCTTTTTGTCTTTCAGAATGGGGTACACATACAATGGAGCCACATCTGTGATGTCTTCTAGGACAAAGGTCCACAATAGTGCAGCAGATTTTAAATCACCAAAAGGCCCTCCAAAGCACTTTGACAAGAATGCTTATGTTTAATTGTACTGTTCTATGATACAAAGCCAGTTTTCAAATCAGTTTGTACAGTTCAGTCACAGAGTGATTTCCAGAAGAGTACCAGCATAATCACCACCAGGACAATGAATTTTTAAAATATTAACTTGCAGCATTTTACATATTGATGTAAATTTTCTTATACAATATTTTGAAATTTATGTTGGTATTATACATAAATTATATATCTGTAAATCACTTGCTGTTTTTGCTTTCTACAAAAAAATAAATAGGTTATTTACAGATAACAGTATGTCACCTACTTTATTTGTATGATATCAAATGCACAGTATCTAATGCAGTACATCACAGCAGCAGCATAGGAGCAGGTTCCAAAATAGGTTTAGTATTTGGAGACAGAAGTCAAGTTTTGTGCAGCTCCCTATGTGAAATTTTTCACCAGTGAGAAACAGTCATGTAGAGCCTGATTTTCAGAAGTGCTAAGCACCTTGCAAGTCCAGTTGAAGTCAACAGGGGCTAAGGTGATCAGCAGCTCTGAAAATCAGGTCCTTATTTCTCCCTTAGGGTGCCAGTGAACAGAGGAACAGGTGTGGAGGGAGGCAAGAGCCAATCATTCACATCCCACAGAAGCAAGAGAGAGACAGTTAGCAAGAGTTTAGGGGCTGGGGGAACCAGGGCTGACGAGGGAGCCTAGAGAAGAGAGTTGTGACCAGGATATTGGAGGGAGTCGGGGCAGACTGTGGGAGAATGGTGTGTTGAGTCTAAGGCAACTTGAAAGGAAATTTTGGGGGACAGAGTAACAGCACCTGAAGTCTTGGGGATTTGTGTGGAGGGATGGGGCAAGCTCCTCCATTCTGCTCCTCCCCACTTCAGCTTGTATCCTTTGAGCCTGCTGCCATCCCTCCTCCAGTCTACCACTACCCCAGCTGTCCCTCCCTCTGTTCCCCTTTTGTTCCTTACTGCAGCTGCTAGCAAGCCATTTGTTCTTCCATTTGCTTACTCCTCCTGCAGACTGGCTAGGTTCCAGGCACCAGAATGGCCCCCAGCAGCCACAAGAAGTGATTACAGGAAAAATCTGCCAGTGCCTGCAGACGACTTTGCAGGAGATTCCAGGATGGCTGTGGGAATGCATGAGAGGGCTGCCAAATGCATGAATGTCACATGTAAATTATGTGACGCGTGGTAACCCTGCTGGATGATCTTGAATTAGTTAGGCAAACATTTCTAAGATCTCAGTTAAGAGGGGGAGAGTGAGCAGCACTGTTTTTCTTTCCACTTGGAACTGTGACAATTTTCAAAAACAGTTATTTGTATGATGATTCAATGAGTCAGATTTATTTAAGAGATTATGAATGACCACAGCACACCTTTTGGACATATGCCCTATAATTAAGGCTCCATGTTTGTCACGGAGGTCACGGAAGTTATGGATTCCCTGACTTCTGCAGTGGCCGGTGCACCTGGCCAGAAGGCCACCTGAGCAGCTTGGGCAGCCCCTGGCCAGGTGCACCGGCCGCTGCTGAGGCAGTCTTGGGCCCCCCTCACCCTCCAGCAGCAGGAGTTTGGGTGTGGGGGGCAGCTCAGGGTTGGTGTGTGAGGCAGTGCTTATGTGGGGGGGCTCCCCAGAAGGGCAACAGAAACTCCCCATCCCTCAGCTCCTAGCTCCACATGCTGCGTCCGTCTGCAGGCACCGCCCCTGCAGCTCCCATTGGCTGCGGTTCCCAGCCAAGGGAGCTTGCAGAACCAGGGCTTTGGGCAGAACAGAGGCAGCATGTGGAGCTAGGAGCTAGGGTCGCTGCTTCCCAGGAGGCTGGTAGGGAGCCTGCCCCAGCCCCCCCTGCCGACTGTCACTCCTCCTGCCCCGAGCACCCGCAGCTCCCTCCAGCACCTGTGATGCCCCCCGGGCCACAACTCCCTCCCAAGTTTTAGTCAGGGGTATATAGTAAAAGTCATGGACAGGTCATGGGCCATGAATTTTTGTTTATTGCCCGTGACCTGTGCATGACTTTTACTAAAAATACCCGTGACTAAAACGTAGCCTTACCTATAATGAATTATAGTTTCTTCTTAAAAAATCAAACCCATACCCTTCTTGAGGTTTGGACAGGCAGAATGGCTAATTTTGATCTAAATCAGTTGCAGCCATCTGTATTTTCCTTTTTTCTCCAAGGTTTTTTTCATATCAAAGTAGGTAGGCATTAGTTTCAGCTCTGTGGTTCACATTCAATCCACACTGATCTCGTTTCATGTTAAGCTTACCTATAAGATGTTCTTCCTGACACCGGGGCCACTCCTGCAATCCTTTATTCAGGTTAGGGCTTATTCTCATTAACAGCTCTACTGAAGCAAATGGAACTGACATGACTACAGAGTATGGGTGACTCATAAGTAAGTGTCTGCAGTGTTAGGTGCACATTTAGAAGTGCCTTTAAATGATTATGCCAGCAATGGGGCCAAAGTCTGTCCTGATTTGCTCCCCGTTCAACCCCAAGAAAGATGGAACCCCAACCTACTGCCCTGAAGTCAATAGCAAAGTTCCCATTGAATTAAATAGGAGCAGGACTGGGTGTAGGATAAATCAGTCATTACTTATTGCAGTGGTCCCCCAACTTTTCATATTGTGCCCCCTTGCCCCTGTCTGCGCCACCTCCGGGGAGCCGGTCTGTGACCTGGGGGAAGGGGGAGATGCGGGAAAGGTGACTGAGGCTGGGGATGGGTCTGGGGCCAGGAGTGGAGCCGCAGCTAAGGGCGGGGTTGGGGGCAGAGGAGGGCGGGACTCGGGTGGTGCTCCTTCCCTGCCCTCCGTGGGAGCTGGCCCGGGCCCTGCTCTGCTCCCTTGAACGTTCCCCCGCACCGCCTTAGGGGGTGCGTCCCACAGTTTGGGGACCACTGACTTATTGAGTTGTACTGATTCTCAAAGATTAAGTCACCAACAATAACAAAAAATGAAGACCTTCAGAGTTTCGGTGAACCTATTTTGGGAGGCAAGAGGATAAATATATAAAATATATCCTCAACAATCCTAGCTTTTAAAAACTCAACATTATAGAAAAGGAATAGCTTGTATTACATTGTAATTAAATAAAAAATAGGACATCTAAAAATACAGTACTAATCATTCAAGCTTTTTTAAATTTAGTGGTTTATTACTATTTAAATTCAAAAGCAGCTAAGTCTTTTTTTACGAAGGCAGCTACCTTGGGAAATTAATGCAACTGCAAGAGCAAAAGTTTATTGAATATAAAAACAAAAAAATACAATTAAGTGTTCAATGCCACATCTGTACCTTTCTTGTACCCGTTCAAGTTGTCTAGCTATATTTTTATAATTTGTAGTTTTATATGAATATACATTAAAACCTATTCTAATAAGTAAAGCAGAAACACTTTCCCAGTATTAAGTTTCAAGGCATACACAACAAATCTGTAAACTATACCATTTTTCAGCCTTTGACACTTACTTTAAATCAGTGGTTCCCAAACTTGTTCGGCCGCTTGTGTAAGGAAAGACCCTGGCGGGCCGGGCCGGTTTGTTTACCTGCCGTGTCTGCAGGTTCGGCCGATCGCGGCTCCCAGTGGCCATGGTTCGCTGCTCCAGGACAATGGGAGCCGCTGGAAGCGGCAGCCAGTATGTCCCTCGGCCTGCGCCGCATCCAGCAGCTCCCATTGGCCTGGAGCAGTGAACCGCGGCCACTGGGAGCCGCGATCGGCCAAACCTGCGGACGCGGCAGGTAAACCAACCGGCCCGGCCCGCCAGGGGCTTTCCCTGCACAAGCGGCGGAACAAGTTTGGGAACCAGTGCTTTAAATCATGCTGGGAAATGTTAATATTTTAATACAAAGAAAAAGTTTATTTAAAATGTTCACATTTTTATATAAAGTTCAGGATAAAATATTAAAAAATTACACATTTTTTTTAAAAGGCTTTAAAAATACTGATAAGTAACATTCTGCAGGAAACGGTTTATTAGTTAATGCTTCTGGGCTTTTCTAGAAACTGGTTTCAGTCTTACAAAGAAACAATAGGGTGAAATCCTGGCCCTAGTGAAGTTCGTGGGAGTTCTGCCATTGACTTCAATTCAGCCAGGATTTCACTCCAAGTTTCTAAATACTGAAGGGCTGGTTACATGTATGTAAATCCCCTTGTAAACTGTTCAAGGTTAAAAGACACAAACATTTTGTAAACAACCTTCCTTATTATTAATGTACAATTGAAAAAAAATGAATAGGAGTCAGAATCTTTTAGACAAGGTCTTTAAATCTGTATTATGATCTAACAGAAATGTCTGCCATTTTGAATTGAACAGTTATATATCTGAAGAGTCACTCCAATCAGTTACAGTGACTAAGCTGCTTTTTAATGTGCTTGTTGTATCAGCATCATGAAATCCTGTTAACAAAATAAATGAAAAAAAATGAATTAGATGATAAAACTAAACTACAATCAATCATAATTCAGCATTATTTTCCTTCCAACTGACACACAGGGTGAAATACAGCCCCACTGAAATCAATTACAAAACTTCTATTGACTTCAACGGGGCCAGGACTTCACCCACAGGAGGAAAATTATGAACAGCTATATATGAAGACTGCTTCCCTCATTACAGTAGGGACCATGATACTAGCTGTCAGTGCTAATATTGCAGGCCTTTCTGAAAATGACTTAAATATCTTTTCTACACATAAAAATGATTATTTTAAAGTCCAACATCTTGGAACTGTCCAGGGCTAGAAGCAATTGTATGTATCCCCCACAGGAAATATAAGAATCTCTCCTTTCCAGTAGTATAAAGCTCCCTTTTCAGCCTGAGTCACAAGATATAAATCTTAAACTGCCAGAGGTCAAAGATTTAATATTATTCTCAAACCAGGTACTTTAGGGGGGAAATTCCACTTTTGGGAGGGGAAGGAGACTTTTTTTTTCCCAGACAGGTTATTTTAAAAGAAGATGACAGCAGCCTGAAGGTGCTCAGAGTCTTGGAATCTTAAGAGTCAATTTTGTATATTTTATATATACTTATGACAAAATAATTTTTTTAAAAGTTATTTACATTCCATTGTAATTAGATATTGTGACTAAAACATTTTTATACTACACTTAAGTTTTTCTTTAACTATATCAGGTGCTTAAATCCAATTTTCCCCTCAAATACTGTAAATGTTTGAATATGTTACCTTCCTCTTTAGGAATATTTGCCTTAGGAACACCCCAGGCATGTACCATTGATGCAGTATTTGATTCATTATTCTTTTGAACTGCAGTTCCCTTCTGCCCTCTCTCATCTT